ACATTTCGTATGTTTTTATGAAGTAATTTAAAATTCATCTGAATCGATATGGGAATTGGAATGAAAATTGTGAATGAAAATCGATTATTTAACATTGTATGTTGAAGTTTATTAGATGTGTGAGATGAAAGCATGTGTGGATTTATAGAGTTTGAACAAGACTTTCGTTTTGTTGGTGATTTAAGTTTGAATAAATGTGATTTTATGGAATATGAAGTTGTTTGATGGAGAATTGGTTAGTCATTTGATATCTGAATGTAGCAACATACCTAATATGGTCTAGAAACCTAGTAAAATTGCTAGTCACTCTCTCAAACCGTAGCTTTTTAAAATCACAGCTTACTATAGTCATTTGAAGTTTCAAGAAGTGGTTCGAATGACGGTTTATGCTGCACATGGTTCAAAAATGTTTACTTTTTCATAAACAATATTTTGAAAGCTACTGGATGTGGAAACAAAGTTCGCATTAGATAATTAATATGCAAACTCATTCAATGCCCTTTGATTTTGTAAATGGATGTTTGCTTTCATGTTGAAAACTGAATTTCATGCATCAAAACGCATCAAACCTCTTTAATGCTTCTCTCATACACTTAAGTAGAATATCAGAATATCCTGCTGAAAATTTCAATCTAACGAGTACCAGGAAGAGATTTATGTTTACTTTATTTATGGATGAGCATAAATACTTTGATGTTTGAAGCTTATAAACCCTCAATAAGTTCAATTCGACCACAAGACACGTTTGTGGCATTTTCTATAATTTTTTTTTTTTTTTACTTAAAAGATAACACATCCTTTATATTAAGCCACAGCCCTTTTACTGTACCAGGAAATTTATAGCAAAACATCAAATAAAGCCATCAAAGACACGAGTTTAATTTCGAATAAAAAATTCATTGCATACGAGCATCTTGAGGCTAATATTTCAATTTTTCTTCATCTTAGTTTTAAAAACTGCATAAAAGGAATCCCCAAGAATGCCACAGGACATTCGATTCTCTGTGAATGTGTTTGCGGTTTAAGCTACCGTCATTAACTTTTTACAATTCATACCTTTCTGTTTTTATGTAAACTCTCTTGCATCCTTCCTATTTTGCTTACATGAATTTTAGATATTTTACATCCTTTCAATCACTTTTTCTGTGTGTCGGGGAAATCAAGTTTTGTGTTCGAATGTTGGATATGAGGGAATATGAAAAATTCAGTCAGTCGTGTGAAATTAATTCTCCTGCATTTCAATTTGAGAATTGATTGTTGAAAAAAATAAAATAATGGAACATGAGAATGTACAGTGGAAGGGGAGCATAAATAAACTTTTTCAGGCTACATCAAAAAACTGCTCAAATTGAGTATTATAAAGCATTAAAATTATTTGAAGGACTTGTTTGAATGTTAGGGATACATGTCGATGTACGATGTCATGTCATACTTTTTTATAAGTCATTTGTGACCAATTTGCAAGGTAACAAATAGTTCTGGTTATTCTGGCTATAGTTTCTATCTGTACAGAACTCTTATTAACTATAGACGCGTGTTAAAACCTATGAAATTCAAAATTTTGCAATCTAAAAGTGATCTTTTTAACAAATTTTCCAGAATGGGAATCGAACTTATGTTCTTATTACTTTCGGTTAAATGCTATCAATATGCTATCGGGTTGATCGGATACTTGACAGAGTGCAAACTTATACTATTGCCATACTCTGAACAACATCTTTGGCTAATCCTACCTATTACGCTCCGTAATTTCCAAAAAGCCCCAACGTGCTCAAAATAGAAATTGTCACATACGATAAAAATTGACTTTTCATCAAAAATCTGCTAAAATTCAAATTTTTTCAACCATGCATCACTAAATCCATAGAAACCAACTACAGCTCAATTTTTTCACCCGCAGATTGAAAATTCATAACAATAAAAAAATATTAATTCGTTTTAAAATTCATGCATTGATTGATCCATTACAAAATCCACTCGACTTACTGATTTTTATGAAGAATTTTGCACAACATGAAATTTCAATCACAATGACGAATTTCCCACAATATGATTTTCCAGCTTCTCTTGTGAATATTAATATCCATGGAAATAATTTGGTTTTTAATGCTCTATTAAACTTTACAACTTAATATCCACAAATTGCTCTTCGTGACTTAATGAATGGGAAAAATTAAGAGTCGGGTTCATTTCAATTTTTGAAGTGGATGTTGTTAAGTTTTTGAGGTAGGAGTGTGGCAATTTAGCGATGCAAACAACAATTATGCATAAATGCACCAACCCCAACCTCAATTCCTAAGAAAATCCACAATTAACTACAAAATAATATTTTTATTTCATTAAAAATACCTGAAAAGTCACATCATAAAGCTGCTCGGGTTGTTTTTCCATATTTCATTCATTGAAGCTTCACTTGCATCTGAACCGGCTTCCGCCTACAGCTTAAAAATAGGTCAACCATTAGAGAAGTAGAAAAAGCATTCAAGCACTTCTGTTGTTATTTTCAAGGCAAAAATTCTTGAATAGTAAAAGCACAACAATATCTTTGTGTGTGCATTGGTATGCATAAAATCTTTTCAGTTCTAATGCATATTTTAATTGAAGACGAGTTGCAAGGAGGATGTAGTGTTTAAATGCTGAATTCATATATAGTAATGAAAAGATGGGAGAGGAAGGAAGTGAAATCATTTAAGGTTCAATAATGTTAATGAAGTATGAATGTGCATGTGAATGAATGGAGAGGAACTATATCTACTGAAAAAGTTGAAAACTTTGTCTTGATCAAAATGTTTTATAAATGGTTTAATTGAATTTGAATTGATTTTCTGGATAACTTTACGTACGCATTTCGACTTTATCTTACGTTTTTCTTCACATTTAGGTATTTTAATGAAACATTTTGAGTTTATGAATTAAATCAAGGAATAGTTTATCACAAAAATAAAGAAATGAATGCTAAAGCTTGGTTTTATCTATATAATCTAATTTAACAATAAATTTCAGGCAAAAACGCCAAAAATCAAAAATTTACATAAACTTTTACGTACGTTTACGTATCTGCCTCTCTTTCTTTTTTCTCATATTTAAGTTTAAAACTCAAATTTAATTAATTAGAATGCAAGTTTAGTAAAAAAAATGTGCTAAAATCAATTACTTGAGGTGGCACAAGACCACTGAACTCAATTTAAAGAGCTGTGGAATAACTTAGACCTTTAAAAACCACTTTCTAAATTCAAACACAAAAAAACAATTCCCCTTCCCTAAACCAACAAATCAGCACCCTCTTTCCCGAAATTAAAACTTCAAAAACTCATTTCCTTCTCACAAGTATAAATTTCCATAGAAGACGACATCTTCAAAGGAATTAAAATAAAGCAAAAATTAATTAAGACAATACTTATAAAACTCACATCAATGCATGCACACAATCTATGTCAAGTACAAGTGAGCTTAAGTACTTTTTGGCTTTTTACAGGCAACACGAGAACGGATATGACTCGAAATTAATTGACACAGAAACCTTGCACTAATTTATAATCACATCATAGTGATGTTATTGCGGGATATGCTTTGGAATTAATTTCCTAGAGAGAATGAAACAATTTTAATGCTTAGATGTAATTTAGAAAATGTTTGTAGACTAGAAATTAAATAATTTGGATAAAAAATAGACTAGATAAAAATTGGAAATCACAAAAAAATTAAATTTATATTCTTATTCCTTTCTTTCTTCTCTCTCTTGTTTCGACAGTGGCGTCTAATGATGCGTCGCTTGTCACACGATCGAGGATATCAGTGATCGAATACTTGGAGCCTCTGTCGAAACCAACAAAGCCACCAAGTATGTTTATTGATTATCTTCATCTTAAGTGTTAGATTCGTAGATGTTATGGACGTGGGCTTTGTAGTTGTGCTCTAGATTTGTGACTTTATAGTTCTTCATCTAATTCTAAATGTTATGATTTAATTTAAAAGCTACAAGTTCGAAATCCTTTTAACTTTTGATCCTTAAATTTTACATCATCCCCTTATACACCCAAATCCATCCAATTTCAATCAGATGAGCGTGACAACACAGAACAAACATTTCAAAACCACCAAAAATTCTTGACGTGATTCCGATGGATATGAATGAATTCTAAAATGGTTTTCGAATAAAAAGTTTTCAAATGAACAAAATTAAATATCCGGTAACGCCCCTCATTTCCATCCACGTCGCTTCATTATTAGATAAAAGTTTTTGACAATTTAGCATCAAACTTCTTCATCATTCCGAGCAATTTTTTTAATTTAATTTTAATCCTTTATAAACTCAATATAAAGCACAAAAAATGTAATAGTGTGTGATGTGATAGTGCTCATACTTATCTAGTTTACGAATATAATCAAAATATTAATTTTTTCTCGCCTTTTTTTCATTTTCAGAATGTGATCAGACGTTTGTATCTCGTGCGGGTGGACCTCAGAATGGAACATTCACAGCACCGTCGCTTTTAAATCCCACAAATACATCACGTCAATGCCTCTATATATTCCTTGCCGGTCCTGGTCAACGTGTTGATGTTCAATTTACATCGTTCAATTTAAGGGGAACACCACCTGAGTAAGAATTTGGATTTAAGAATGATTTTGAGGTTATGCGACTTAGTTTTTGATGTTTCGAAGCTTTTGAGGCTAGTTTTGTGTAAAACTAATTTCTATCTTGTTAATTAAGCTCATACTTATATGATTAGATGTTAAACAAGCTCTTAACCTCAAACTACCTACAAAAATCATCAAACCTAAAGTACTAATTTATTGTTTTCCATTCTCAATTCTATAGTGGTGCGGCAGTGGGAGAACTTCCAGCGTAAGTAAAAATATTTATGAAGCATATAAAAGCTTCTTAAAAGTTCACATACTTCCTCAAAAAAAAAAATACAATTTTCACGTATCAAAATAAAATATTTAAGAAGATATTTTCCATTAAAAACAATTTTCACAGATGTGGCCTTGAATATATGGACATTTATGCTGAAGTGCAATCACCTGATCCCGCTGAGCTAATAAATTCGCCGTTTGGAGGACGGTATTGTGGTCCTATACCACCACGTAGGAGAATCTCTTTATATCGGGCTATAGCGTTATCTTTTTACACTGCTAAGAATCAGACTACGCCAGATGTTTTTGATGGACGTTATCAATTTATTAATGAATGTAAGATACTGCCATTTTAGTGGATTTTGTTGGGATTTTCTGATGTGCTCGAGAGGTTGGTTGCTTCATTTAACTAATAGTATAGCTCCTTTTATGGATGTGTCCTAGCAGAAGCTCCTGAAAATCACAACAAAATCCATTAAACCTCCAAGTTAAATTCCTACATCCGTACTGATCTTAAATTCTCTTAATCCTATCTTAAGCAGCTGAATACGAAGTCGGACAGCCAGTTGTTGGTTCGCCATGTTCCTATGTAGTCAACTTTGCACACAAACGTACAGGTTTTCTCGTCTCACCAACCTATCCAGGTGCCTACCCAAAAGATATGTCATGCACATATCAGTTCATTGGAAAGCCGGGACAAAGGGTTCGAATCGAATTCCGTGATTTTGATCTCTTTTTCGGTGGACCACAGTAAGTATTTTACGTGATTTCATGCTGAAAATCACTTGATGGAAGTAATTTTAAAATTTTCACGTTTGCTACAGACATACTTCCGAAGTGATTTTCTGCATGACTGGGAATTTAAAGGAATTTTAATGCATCTTCTCTTTCCATTAAACGTGATTAAATTGCTGACTGAGAATGACACGAGTGGATATGAATATATTATTTAACTTTATGGACGAAGGCTAAATTAGACATGTGAAGGTTTCATCTCATTATCAATTTGTAATTTGCGATTATATTATTCTGACATTTGCAAGATATCCATCAGCATAAATTGAGTTGGACTATGTCTCATTAAAATGGGAATTAGATGGATTAATTTGAATATTATTGTGAATTTATTTGCATGATTGCTGTCTGAGGGTACTGGGGGTCCTCGATTTGAGTAGATTCTATTTGAGTAGATTCGATTTGAACAGAAAATTTTTTACCCACCAAAATATTCGATTTGAGTAGATTTCTTCCTGTTTTCTTCGATTTGAATTGTTTACAAAACAAATATTTTTGATAAAAACATTTCAGAAAATATTTTTAAACATAAATTTTTCTGCAATAAGCGTGAACTTATCATATTGATCGAAAAATCAAAACTAAAGTTACAAAATTAAAGTAAAAATTTAAAAAATCGATATAAAATTAACGGTTTTAAAAAGTTCAAATTCAAAAACCCTACAAATTGTTCGGTTAAATAACATTTGCAAGGTTCTCATATTTTTGTTTTGTTTCAAAAACATATTTTTTGTGAATTTCTGTTTAAAAACAATATGAATATGCGTTGAAATAAATTAAGTTTTCTAAAACACATAGGTAAAATTAAGAAAATAGGTAAAATGTGGAAAAAATTATCAAAATTTTCATTGTTTTGATACATTTTTTGGACTCTGGAACAAAACATGTGATTTTGTATGGATTCTTTGCCTCGATTTGAATAGATTCGATTTGAGTAGAAATTTTTTGGAACAAAACAACTACTCAAATCGAGGACCCCCAGTATAAGATATATGATATTCCTTCAAAAAAACCAAGGCAAGCCAACATGAAAGGAAATTTCCCATTTTAAATTCCCTGGATTTGCCTAAAGCATTAATAAAAAATTTTGACACACTTTTTAAACCCCAATCAGCTCTTAGTTTACTTGACATGTATACTTTCTTATTTTTAACGAGAAATCATCATAAAATAAATTGAAAATTTCTTGCCAAAGTTTTTACCTATCAAGTTGTTTTCCCCTCGACACGAGTACAGCACTAAAAATCTTGACTGAAACAATTCATTCTACACTTAAAGTTTCAATTTGTTTGATAAGATAAGTTCTCATTCCACTTTTTGTTGATTAACAAAAGATTCATTCAATCGTCTTCTAACTTAAGATCTTATTTCAAAATTTCAGTTTAAATAACTCGGAACATTGGATTAAAATTGAATCCTTAACCTAAGTCTGTAAATTATTATTTATAATTCCCAAATCACTCCATTGATGCGTAACTGATTATCCATTTTTTATCATTTTGGTCAGTTCCACATCCTGGAACGAATCATGCTACTGAAAATATTAAACCAAACCAAACAATATGTAATGTTAGGATTTATGCTGCGTTTGATCTTCATACGAAATGAAAAATCCAATAATTTTAAGTAAGCGAAAGAGTTCGAATCTCAAAATATGAATAAAAATTATTTATAAAATATACTGTTTCACCACCTTTTTTGTATCAAATATCATGAATTCCCAAACTTGAATCAATAGCTTTAAAGTAAAACAAATTCAGTATTCCCAATGCAAGCCTAAAAACCTCCCTTTTTGTCAATTCTGTCAGTACATTTCAACCCATCATGATCTTTTCCTATATCAATTTCACAATCTACTTGCATATTGATATGTTTGAATGAATGATGGAACCATACATAAATTACAATGGGTTGAATCGCACAAAAATTGGATGCAGAGAAGTGAAATGCAACGCATTAAAAATTCCACTCATGAAATAAAAAATCCTCATCAACATTCATTCTCAAATATTGCCTATCTCCACAGCTGTCCACTAGATTTTGTTCGTGTTCATGATGGCAGCGATAATACATCAGCAGTTATTGGAACATACTGTGGTCAACAGAGAAATTTAGTGCTTTATTCGAGTGAATCAAATCTATTTGTACAATTTTCCACACTACAACGTACAGCAAATACTCAAAATCGTGGCTTTAAAGGAATTTTTGAATTTAGTGAAAGCTTCGTTAAATTGGATTTCATTCGTGAGTTGCTGCTGCTCTGGCTGTGTTCAATCTATAATAAAATTTTATGTTTTATGCTCTAATTCAGGTGAGAATGATGGGGTTCATATTCGTGGCTCTGAATGTGATCAGAAAATTTTATCGAAGAAAGAATCAACGGGCTTTGTTTACTCGCCAAATTATCCATTTCCTTATGTACCGAAAGTAGTTTGCAGGTGAGTTTAATGCTTCTTAATGGCACTTGAACTTTTTTGAACAACTTTTTTCACGGTTCATTGAGATGAAAATTTTTCAAAATCTTTAAAAAAATATCTTAGTGCTATAAAGGCGTTGAAGCATAATTTTATCTACAAACATTTGCATAAATTTTTAATGTCAATAAACTTATTTTTCTTTAAACTTTTATATTTCCAGATATTTCATATACGGCATGCAGGATGCACAAAATCTTGAACGGGTGAAATTAGAATTTTCAATATTTGATATACCAAAAGGTGAACATAAACCAAAAAGCGAGTAAGTAGATTGGAACTTTTTTCATCATTTTAAGTATTATAATTGCGATGAGTTTGAGACGGGAAATGAAGATTTTTCTGGTTTGGTGGTTTTAAGAGGAAGCTTTTAAGAAATATTAGATGGGATTTACAAATTCTAGAAGAACTTATTCTCCACTTTTTGGAATCAAGTAAATTTGAGCAAAATTCTTTTGGGTATTTTTAATTTTTGTTGTCTGAATCGTAAATAATGCTTTCAAGTTATCTTTTAAAACTTAAGATCAATGAGCTTACTCTAATTAGAATAAGGTTCTAAAGTAAATGCGAGTATTATAGCTAGTTAAACTATATAAAGAAAATTACTTCTAATTAACAACATTATCTCCTCGAACAATCCTTTTCACTAGAGTAAGTTTATGAAAAAACTACCAAATCTGAATTCAAAATTTAAAAAAACGTTAAAATTTCAAAAAAAAAATTTAACAACGTAACACTAGCTGTATTCACAGAACTTACATTCCAAAAATAAAGCATTCCAATACATCTTCCTAAATATTGTGAATCGTACAGTGTGATTCCTCATTGACATACATATAAGCACCCTTATTTCCACTGTCAGACGTCGTTGAGAATAAAGTTACACAATTAAGACCTGCGAAAAATTTATATCCTTCAGGAACAACTTCGTGTGCACGAACAATCACTTCCATATTGAAATCCCTGAAGAAGTCAGTTACAGCTTGTGGTCCATAATACCAGCTTATACCACGATTACTATTTTGCTTCCAATTCCTCGTTGTAATGTCAGGATCACTCCACACTAAGTCACATAATAATCCATAGTCAGGTATTTGTACTGGTCTGACAATATTCCTAATTTGATCAAACGACATCAATTCCGGACTTATTCCAGCATGAACACAGAACATCTTATTCTCGACAATTGCAGCGACTGGCATGCAGTCAAAGACAGTCACGAAGACATCGAAAACATTTTTATTTAATTTGCTCAGACACTCATCCAAAAAGCCATAATAGCTGCAGACACTTTCACTCTCATGATTACCGCGCAACAAATGAAAAGTTTCAGGATAAAGAACTTTAAAAGCGAATAGTAAACAAATTGTTTCCAATTGCTTCGGGCCACGATCAACATAATCCCCAAGAAATAAGTATTTTGTGTTACTTGGCATTCCGCCAAGCTCGAAGATTCGACGAAGTTCATCAAACTGTCCATGTATATCACCTGTTGTTGTTGAAATGAACATGCAAAAAAATAGAAATAAAATAAAAATGAAATTTTCTCTCACTTCGTGTTATTTGTACTTTTCATACCGCATATTGTAATCGGAACTGATAGCTCTAGAAGCATTGGATGTTGCAAAAACACTTGTCGAGCTTGAAAGCAGAGTTGAATGACTTCGTGTTCTTCGAGTGGAAACGTTGTTGATGTTAACAGTCTTTCTATGATGTTCATGGTTGGATTGAGATGAAAAATAGATAAATGAGAATTACTTTTCTCATTGAAGATGAATATGGAGATTTATAAAATGATAGTAAATGAAGTAAACGTAAAATTGAAATGGTTGCTTTGGTTGAAATTTTTTTATGGCAGTTTTACGTGAAAAAAAAATTACGTTAGAATTTAACGTACGTAATTGTCTACGTAAAAATCACATGTTCTCATATCATATTTAAGAAAAATACTTTCTTATTTCTAATTTTAAGGACAATTTCTTTTTGAATCTGATGGTAAAGGATTATATCAAGTGGCAAACCCACTTATAACCATCATTTGAAGCAGGAAACTTCTATTCTGTTTCAAAAATTATTAAAATACATAATTATTTTGCTCATTTGTTCAAATCATTCAAAATTTTAACGTTTATGTCTAACTGAACGACATATTAATCATCTTGCTTTAACTTTTCAACAACATAAGTAGTTCAAATGTGAATCATTCCATCAGTATCAGAAACCACTCAATGCTGATAAGCTAGAAGTGGAATTAAAATTCGTAATGAATCACCAAAAGTCTCACAGATGTTATTTAAGTCTCACTTATCACGTGCGATATCACTGAATTTTTAAAAAATGTTATCAAGATTTTCAATTAAAGTATAAATGGATCGAAAATTAGTTCAGTAAATCAGTAATAATTCAAAGCTTCAATACAGCAATTAAAAATAAACAAAACTTTAAAAATGAAATTCGCAGCAGCAATTTTCACCTTCCTCGCCGTCTTCATTGCAATCGAAGCCAACCCAATTTCAGTCAGCAACAACAATATTGGAGATATTGTGACCGTCGGAGTTAATTTAAATGCACAACTTAGCAGCAACATTGAAGCTAACATCATCACAGTTCTTTTGGCATTAGTCAATCAACAAGCTGCAATTGTCAATGGCGAAATCCCAGCAACAACACCATCTTCAATTGAGCCATCAAACGTCATCACACCTGACTTACTCAACCAACTTAAGAATGTTAAAATTACACCAGAAATGATTGAAAGCGTCAAGAAAATGTTGAATTCTCAATAAATTGGATTCGTTCCTATTCCTACATTAAGGAATAGGTTTAATTAAGCTAGAAAAGACCAAAAAACATGAGACATATCATTCACTATTGTTACTGAATATTAAGATTAATTAATAAATACTGCAAAGCTTTTGAGTTCAAAATTTTCTAGTCCTTAATTCTTTAATTAAGTTTGGTAACTTGGTTTAAGTCAAATGCCGTCAAATGAATTCCTCAATTCTAGTTTCGATCCAGATTGACATCACAATGAGATGTAATGATTAGAAAAGCATGAAGTCGTAACAACAATACTTAACCAGCTCTATCAATTGAACAGTCAAAACAAATCTCGATTAGATATTAATGTCACCAAAACAAACTTATTGAATCTCAATCTACTCCAAAACTTATAAATCATTTTAATCTGCTTTAGTTCTTTTTTTTTGCCACTATCGCCTTTTTTTGTGCATAGATGAATGCTTCCTTGTTATTCACATATTTTTGTTAAAAATCTGTTGCTGAAACTTGGAAGACTTCCATTTCAATAAACTCAACAGCAGTTCCAAAAGAATATTTTTTTTTCTATAAAGCATAAAAATCTTTCTTTAATCTCATGCGATTCCGAATTCCTTTTTAGGGCGATTCCATGGGTAAATGAAACTGAAAATTTTTTTTTCAAAAACTTTTTTAGCTTTTTCTGCTTAAATATACATATTTCAACATATCTTTTCACTAAATAAGACTTATTATTCATCAATTCATGTGTTATTAGCATTTAATCGTCTTAATTATGCTGCATTTTGACAAAAATATATAATATGTTTTGCAATAATCGGTTGAAAGTTGACCGATTAAGTGGTGTTTTCCCCAATTTTCTCCTTAATTACAGTAGAAAGACATACAAATAAGATATTTTTATAAAGCACAGGCGATTTCACGTGTGTTTATCATAGATTTGTAACACAACAATGGATATTCAAAGAAATATTGATGAAAATTTAAAAATCATTTTTTTGTAAAGTTGACCGATTAAGTTTGGTTTTTTTAAAATATCTTTTGTCAGACAGATTTAACTAAAAGATTATGCTTTTAAATACATAAATACCATAATAATAAATAAAATAAATCTTAAATATGGCGTTAAATGAAGTTAATTAAGGAAATATTTACAAAAAATTGAGTTGAGAAAAAAAAATTCACTCATGGAATCGCCCTTTATCTCTCTTCCTACCACCATAAAACCATAAAATTTTTCCTTACAATGATGCTCGTTAGTGTTGAGTTTAAAATAAGGAATTAAAATGATTGGGTTGTGGGAATCAAACAAAAAAGGGTCTCAAGACCAAACGTTTATCTGCTTGCTGCAGTCTATTCATGTAATTTTTCATCTCTTACATTACAGCTCAAATTGTACGGATGGCTATTTGAAAATATATTTGAAAGGACAAGAGACTATGGATGCCTATGATAAATATGATCATGAATTGTGCGGTACAGATAAACCGCATCCGGTAGTGAGTGATGGTCCACGTTTAGTTATGGTTTTCAGTTCTGGTGAATTGCAGGGACGAGGATTTAAGGTAATTTGAATAAAAATTAATCAGCATCAAGCGTAACCATAATTCTCTATTTTTTTTCATGTTAGGGTAAATATTCATTCGAAACAGAATATAAAGTCCCTGGAACCGCAGCACCTGATGGTACGTGCAGTTTTACTTATCGTAGTACATCGAAGAAAAAAGGCGAATTTAATTCACCACGTTATCCTTCCAATTATCCATCCGACACAAATTGTTCATTTGTCTTTCTTGCAACTCCGAATGAACAAGTCACAATCATATTCGATCATTTTAAAGTGAAGGCAGACAATGCAAATACCACAGGTGGAGCTTATGGGTAAGTGATTTGAATATTAGTTGAAATTAAATCTAATAAAGGGTGTGAAACTGTGAAAACATGATGATGTTCTGTGTAGTTTCATACCCCTTTTCATATGATGCAGTCCAAATATTCATCAAATATGATCTGAATAAAACTCTAAAATCAAGTCTATTGCCAAAAGGAAGACCACTTTGGCCCCTTCCTTCTGCAGACATATGACAAGATTTGCACATCAATCTCATTCATCCATGAAATAATTCCATCTAATTCTTCTTTCATAATATAAATCTCATGTTACAGAACATCTGTGTGCTTTGAAGATTGGCTCGAGATGTATGTGCTCTATCGTGATGGAACGGATCGATTTCTTGGTCGCTATTGTGGATATACTGCCCCCGGCCCCGTTGAAAGCCCACGCGGAGCCGTTGGTATACGTGTTGTTCTGCATACAGACCAGGAGAATGTTGCAAGTGGCTTCAAGGCACGCTACATATTTGAGGTAGCAAAATCAGTATTTGGCGATTGCGGCGGAAATTTTACGGGTGTAGATTCAGGCATTATAACATCGCCGGGATATCCATTAAATTATGAGGGTCCTGGCAAAGGATTAGCATCAAAAGCATGCAATTGGTATGTCACAGCTCGTTCAGGTTATAAAATATTTCTCAATTTTGAGCTGTTCGGTGTCGAGGGCGATCCAGCAAGTGAGTATCAAATAAAAATTTATAATCCATAAATGAAAGGTTTTTACGATATTGCTTTTCTAATGTGTTTAGGTCGTGGCTGTGCAGCAGCTGCATTACGATTATGGCTATTGCCCGACTCAGATCTTCCACCAATCGAAATGTGTGGCGAGAAAGCACTCAATGAACATTGGCAATATTTAACACAGGGACAATCTGCTAGAATAAGTTTTACTAGCGCTGATAAAGCAATCGGTGCACAGGTAGAAAACAGCATTAATCATATTCAATAGACTTCCTTCAATTGTTTACCAATTCTCAATATCTAGGGCTTCCGTATTGTATGGACTGAAGTGCAAGAAGGAACTGGACCGCCGTCATCTCTTTCACTATTATGCGAATCAACGTATCACTATCAATGTCTCGTTTCTGGCTATTGTATATCAGATCGTCTACGATGCGATGGTACAAAAAATTGTGGACCGGAGGACAATAGCGATGAAATGCACTGTGAGTCGTGAGTGAGTCGAACGGTTTTCAGTTCAATTTTATTTTATCCTTCTGTTTATTTTAGTTCTTTTTCTGTTCTGTTTGTAAATATTGAACTTTATTTTCGTTATGGATTTGAATTTTTTTTTTTTTGTTCTACGTCAGTGGAAATTATTGTTGACTACCATGAAATATTTTCATGAGAATTCTCCACGCTTATATAAATCACACAACGAGGAGGCACTAAGGGCATTCAACTTGAAAAGACTACTGTTCTGATACATCGTTCCTCTGAAGGCTTAAAAAGTTTTTTTTTGTTGCTGTCAGCTTGACGACACAAAATAACAAGATGATTGACATTATTGAGTGCTTCAGGCATCTTGAGCAATTTTCTGAAAAGTTTCTAGAGAATTTTACGGGAGATTTTGAGAGAGTTTAGTTTGCTGTCGTCTGTGGGTTATGTTTACTTTAAATATGTCTTTGGGATTGACTGAAAGTAATTAATAGATTCTTGATTAGTTTGAAATCATTAAATGAAGCTGAACTGCTTCTGGAACTTTAAAACTAAGTGATGAAAATGTTCTAAAAGTCATTTAGTATTTGAATTGTCTAAGTTAATAGAATAAGTTGATTTCCTCTTCAAAGCTGTTTTGCCTTTTCTTACAAATTGCTAGTCTTTTAATAAATAAAAGTAAATTTTAAAATCATTTAACTAGTCAAATATACGGATCTTCTCTTGAATAAACATTTTGAGATTCAGATCAAAGTTTTCTTTCTGTTCCTGGACTAATTATAGATTACAAAAGTGAATTATAAGTGTTTTGCAAGTTTTACATCGTATTTCATCTCAAAACCTTTTAAAAATGTCTGAAACTTTGTAATTGGAAATATTAAGCTTCAATATGTCAAGCTATACACAATTATGTGACAACATTTATAAGTTTTCTGTCATGCCTTGTTTTCAACTTTTGAGGCAATTTCTCATCTTCAAATGAAATGTTTACTTTATTTTAAACTTTGTTTTTCATTATACTTAGCAAGTTTCACATCAAAGACTTGCAAAAGAGTCTTTAAAAGTTCCTTCATTTAATAATACTAACCATGTATCAGTTCAGCTCTTTATGAAGCATCAAAAAACAATTTAAAGCTCCATATTTTCAAAATTGATTACTTTCAACACTTTTTTAAGTGTAAACTTTATGCTTACTGCAGAATATGTGTATGTTACTATGTTTTCTTTCTCGACATTGTGTGGTTTATGGAGAGAACTTTGCATTAAGTGTTGTGGTTATGGAAACTTTTGCTTCATTAACCAAAGGGAATGTAAAGTTTTGCTAAACATCACAAAATGTACAATTTTCTTATGGAAGTTAAACTAAGAGTGCTTTTGGGTTTGTTTTGAATAAAAGTGGGGATGAGGATCTTATAACTTTAGAAGTTTTAGATGAAATATTGATGATAAAATAGATAATAGAATTGGGATGATTCAATCACTAAAGACAAGTTCCAGATCAATTTTTAGTCTATTACATAACAAACCAGCATTTGCGTATCTTAAATTTCATCCAAAATTAAGAAAAACTCAAATATTAATTTCTAGTCTAATTCAATTAAAAAGTCAACACTCAACATTTTAATCGCGCAATTCCTTTAAACCTTTTAACATTTTTTGTGTTTACAATTTTCATTTTTCTAATTTTGTTTAATTTTTAATATTTTTTATGAGTTTTGTAAAAATACAAAAATATACAAAATGAAAACTGTAAACTGTTCAACTCTAACTCTTATTCTATTTACTTATAAAAATATTTTTGATATGATACAGATTTAGATTTTAATGCTTTATAAACCTTAATAATACTTACTTAAAATAATTAATATAAAAAAATTTTTATAACAAATTTTACTTTCCTTTTTTGAATGAATATTTTAAAATTTTGTTATTTTATAAAATGCACGAAACGATTTGAATTGGTTTTGACTTTATAATCTCATAATTCTACTTTTGGACATTATTGTAATTTAATTTGAATTTTCCATCAATTTTCAACATAAATTTCTGAAATTAAAATTTTAGAGTAGTTTCATCTTAATTAGATTGTTAAAAAATATTTTGTAGATTATTTTAGGAGATAGGAGTATTTTGTCTTTTTTTATTTGAGCAATCTCAATTTAATCTAATATATCAGTCTCCTCTGAACCAAGTCCAGCTAGTTGAGGTCCTTGTTGAACCAACTCTAGCTAGTCACAGTCCCCTCTGAACCAACTCTAGCTAGTCACAGTTCTCTCTTTACCAACTCTCTAGCTAGTCACAGTCTCATCTGAACCAATTCTAGCTAGTTGAAGTCCATTCAGAATTAGTTCTAGCTAGTCGCAGTCCCCTCTGAGTTAACTCTAGCTAGTCACAATCCATCTGATCCGCACTTTAGCTAGTCGCATTCTCTTCTGAGCCAAATCTAGCAAGTGGCAAACCTCTCTGAACCAACTCAAGCTGGTTACAATCCCAATTTAGCTGGTTTTCCTATTGAACACAAATCAAAAAATACTAGTTTTTCTCCTTTTTAACAGCTCTAAAACATCTAAGAGCAGAAAATTAACCAGAAATTTTGATGGAAAATGTTTTTCTCAGTTTTTCTTCTCAATTCTCTTCAGAAAAATTCCCTCTTTTCTGTTTTTGAAACTTCTCTAGTATATTTCAGTCGTCATAGAACGTAAAAGGCACAAAACAGCATCATAAAATTTAAATTGATTTTTTGTTTTCAATCTCTTGATAAAGATGATACCTAATTAATGTTGTTATTGAGAGCATCAACAAAATAAAATCCTTGAATTGAGAATGATGCGATAATTAAAATATTGATTTACATAGCTGCACAAGGTTGGCTATAATGATGCTTCTTGTCTTTCACGTTCTATGACACAATTTTTATTCATTATTTTTATTCTTGCTTGCTTTATTTCTTCTTCCTTAACAGAAGATAAACTGTAAATGATAATTCTTTAGGCACGTAAACTAAGCCAAGTGAGAGATAGTAGCGCTTTTATAGACAATAAAATGACGAAAACAACAACAAAAATATTTATTTTGGTTCCATTTTTTTGTATTTTGAGCCTTGACATCATTTTCCTTGTTTTCATTTTTTATACAGTCAAAAATGACAGATTTTTGTTTAATTTAAAACAGATTTTTCTCTTTTGTAACAAAAGACGTGCCTAATATTGAAACAAAGTAAATTAAAAATATATTAAATCACTTTCTATTCTGACTTGATGTTTGGATGGCACATTTTCCATAATTTTTTTTACTCTCAATGGAAAATTAGCAATGTGATTGGTTTTAAAGTCACAACATGTGTTGCTCATGAATTTTATGCCTTTGAAGTTTATGACATTGATTTAATTGAAATACTTTCAACATTATTGGCTAAATTAAGAAGGTAATCATCAAAAAATGATCACTATTGTTCAGAATATCATCAAAATAACTGAACAAAACCTTTGGTTGGATGTTCCAAAACAAAATTTCAATCATTATTATCAATCTAAAGCCAAAGAGAATCTAAAATTTTGCAATTATCTCACAATGTTATTGAGCATTATTGATGCAAATAGTTTAGTAATGAGTTTTATCATTGCAGTGCATTGTGGAATTTTCAATTGACTGAATTTTAGTGAATCTGATTGATTTCATGCTGGATTAATATTTGATTACAATAATTCTCAATTGTCAAATTTGGAATGATGCAGCAAATTATGAACTGTTGACATATTCTGTTTTGGGATTTAACTGCAACATTTTATCAGATGAAATAATAATTGGCAAGCTGTTATAGCCATCTCCAAAGAATTGAGCTGTTAATCCTTCTTTCCAAGCTTTCATCGAAATTCATTCGATCGAAAATACAGCCAATTAAAAATGAAATAAATTCGAATGAGCAATATGCAAATAATGACTTTGTTAAGCCAATTTCCAACATTGTGCCATGTCATTTCATTCGAGAATAAAAATTAAGAAGACTTAAAAGAAGTATTTGTTCACAATGATGATTGTTAATTGTTAATATCAAAATACTACGGATATCTGAATGTCGAATTAATTCGACATTGAATGTCGAAGTATTCAAAAAGTGTCGATATTATATTAAATTGACTTAATACTGAATATAGTTTTAGAATTTCAAATTTACTCACTATTCATGCTTATAAATCCTAAAAGAACAAAGTATTTTACTTAATGGACATTTTCCAAACAAAATTTAACGGGTTTTTAAAATTTAAAATTAAATTTAACGGTCTTTTTCGACACTTCAGTAGTATGCAAATATCAAATACTCTAGAGTCTAGATAGTGGAAAAGTTCGTTGCCTATCCAAAAAAATTACAATTCATATTTAAAAAAAACATGAAAAAAATCTGAATCTTCAATTTAGCTTTATTGAAATCTTTTATTAAATACTTTTTGTAAGCTTTGAAAAGAACCTCGAGAAAAGTCTTCGAGTTGCTCAACAAAATTATTTTTTTTTTCATTTTAATTTTTTTTTAAATCTTCTTTTGAATACAACAAGAAACAAAAAAAAACCGAGGAAAAAAGAGAATTTTTCATTTTATTATTTTCACAAAAAATTCATTTTTTGTAAAGTGAAAACCAAAGAACATGTAGAAAAATCTTTTTTTGTATCCTTTTTACTCAACTTATTTCTATCTCTCTCTATTTCCTTTTCTCTTCTTTCTTTTTCTTTCTTTTCTTCTCTCTCCACTCCGTGTGTGTGATTGACGACATGATACATATATAATTTAAAAATAATAATTTTGTGGGCTCAATGATAAAAAGGTGAAGGAAGTGGCGTCTTAATAGGCGGCAATACCTTAATAATAACATCAATAAATATCATCATTTGGACTTTTAAATTATCATAATCCACACACCTTTCACCTTTCCTAATATTCATAAATCCCTAAGCCTCATATCCATTAAGTTCCCTATAATCTCCCATCTTATAATGTCGTGAGCCTTGTGCGAATCTTTGTCATATGGAGTCAGCCTCTGGTAGGAATCAAACCCAAGTCCTTAAACAATAGAGAGGTTACAAACTTTTGGCGTATTCCACCAGTCCACAGAAGACTGGCAGATTCGCCTACACATATGACTCGAAACTATAGACAGCTTCCATTCTGCTACGACACCACGATCCACTCCTTATGAATTTCCCACTATCCTTTTGTGTTCTTTCCGCTCCGTCCAAAAAGAAAGAATTTCATAGCCCGCAGCTGATAAAAAAGAGAAATTTAATGTATAATAAAAAAGACACATAACACACTCTCTGAGCTCTATTGATTGAATGTCTTATGATAGAAAGTTTTTTTCATTGAGAGAGACAATGTGAGTTTATAAAAAAAACTGCTTATTTTTTATCATTTTTATTTTCTTCCTACTTCCGTTTTGTTTTCTTTTCTTTCCGTTTCTATTGTCAGAAGAATTCAATCAACTCGACATTACTTTTTCTTTCGTTTCGTTCATTGGAATCGCGCACACACACACAAACATTTTTTTTTCTCTCGTACTTTTATGTATATTGATGTTTATTGGGGCTAAGGAATGGGAATCTTTTGGTATTGAGTATAGCTTTTGGTATCTTTTGGACTTTGGAACTTGGAATGACTAGTTTAAAGAATCAAACTATCTATTTTTGGATTTGCTTCTGATTTAGAGTTGCGATCTGTCACAGGCAACAAACTGTCATTTACCTGTTAACAGGCAGTGCCTGTGACAGGAAATATTTTTTGACTGTCACAGGCATAGATCTGTCAAATCTACCCACAGATATAACAGATCTATGACAGGCAAAAAAATACAGCTTGTCACAGCAACTGCATGTTAACAGACAATATCTGTGATAGATCTGTCACCTGTGCCTGTGACAGCAACTCTGTTCTGATTAGTTTATTAACAACATAAAGCTAGCATAACTTGAAGCCGACTTCGAGTGCTATAAAAAAGCTATTTCAAAAATACCAAAAGATTCCACACCCTTGACAATCCTCAACTACAATAACAGCAAAATCATTTTTTATCATTCCTTCTTTTCATATTTGTTTCTGTCTTTATTTTTCATACGTTTTTATTATTTTTTATTCTGAAAAACTTTTTCTTTTCATTTTCTTCTCTTTTCGTCTTCAACTTTATTTATTTATTCTGTACATGAATATCATCTGTACATACTTTCTTGAAATATTGTTGTTAATATGGCAAATACCATAGCAAATAATTTTTTAAAGCGAAATAAACAGCTTCAAATGTTCTACTTATTGTGAGGTTCTGTGAGTAAAAATGACATCAATCAAGAAATATTAATTTATTTTCTTGGTTGTGGAAATGAATTTTCTAGATTATTAATACTTTGAGAGTTCATTGCCAAGCTTTTGAGCCTCAGAACCTTTTAGAACTCTATTCAGAGAAGAAATTGTCAAAGAAAATGAAATGTTTGCACATTTGGAGTTGCAGCCACATTTAAAAACCATTCAGATCGAACTATTTACTTTATTTCTGCATTTTTATCTTTATCTTACTTCCATTTTTATGCATCTTGATGTTTCATATTTCTTTTAAATTTAAACATTGCATCATAACATTACAATAAACGTAAATTGAATCAGAACTCGAAGTTGACTAGAAAAAATGGAGTCGATTTCGAGCATTGATTTGAACTAGGATTCATAAATATGTACCAAAAGGATTGAAATTAGGAATGACAGTTGTTCATGAATGTAAAATGAACCAAAACCTTGAATTCTACAAGAGAAGAATTAGACACAGTTTTTTGTATGGAAAAAGCTAGCTTGAGTTGATTGCATCAGCGTTAACTTTAAGCATCGCTTCTATAAAAGCCACACAAATCCGAGCAGTTTAACGAAATCACAAGAGTACCTCAACATAGTTCCACTTAGTAGTTTCGTAGATAAGAGGATAAGCTGTTGACACCATGATAGTTATCTGATCGCTTAACATCTGAAATTTGCTAAACTGCGTCACTGAAGATCTCACATTTTCCATATTATGACATTAACCTCCATTGTGCAAATTGATCTTGAGCTACATTCTGTTATTTAAGATACAAAAATAGCAGAAACCACTCCATTTAGCACAATTTAAATACAATTTCAAGTCCTTCAGTTCTAAAAATACTCAAAAATTTAGCAATTTATCGATTAAGCATCGATGTGAAATGTCAATGAAATGTTTCTATTGCCTCAATTCAATCAATCAATTCAACCAAAAATCAAAAGCTCTTTTCATTTATTTTTCATGTTTAAATCTACGCAAATAAAATCTTTTCGAACCCTTCCAAGAGTAAAAAGCATTGAAATCGTAATCAACCCTTTCAAAAGTTCATCAATGCATAAATTTTATGTATTTAACGTTAAAGGAACTGAAATTTACTTAACAATTGCTTGACAAAAATCTAAAAATAAAAATTGTAGAAGCAAATATTTGACATCTCCTGCGCGTCTTTAAAAATAAAAGAAATATTTGCATAAATAATTATTCGCAAATTTGAATTTTAATTCATTTTTATAGCTGAATCTCATCCGTGTCTTTATTCTTGGTACATATTTCAATTCTTTAATTTATTTTGAATGCATTTTTTTCTCAGATTTTTTTTATTTCATTGCTTGCATTGTTATGAGCTTTTTTTTTGTCATGCTGTAGGGAGGAACAGGAAGTTTGAGACACAAAATAAATCTTTCAATGTTTATTTTATGAGGAAATTTTATAAAATGAGAATTTTCGCTTTAATTAAAAAGATTCAATGAAAAAAACTTCTCATAATGTCTGATTCTTCGCGGATATGAATTTAAAATTGCTCGTTCGTTTGCAATTGTAGAGTCAATATTGAAATTATAAAGGTAATTTGTTCGATGAATGTAAAATCAGTCAATCTGTAAAAAGCAAGCTATGAAGATTGTTGAAAAACGACAACTTTATTCCAGTTTTCTAGCGTGAATTGATAAAACTTTTAAAATATTAATGCAAAGCAGCTTTTAATAAAGTTTTCAGTATTTTTTAACAGTTTTTAATTCGAAAATTGCGCAATTTTGAAATATTGTCAACTTACACATAGTAGTTAAAATTCTTATTAAAATTCTAGAATCGAAATTGCATTGAAAATCTAGAATTTTAACTAGAATTTAAAGAAAATTTGATTTCAATTCCAATTATTTTTCGATTCTATAATCAGAATTTAAATTGAACGAATCAATTCTGAAATTGTAATTTAAATTCTTCCTTGAGATTTTACCAATAACTTGATGTTTCGACAGGAACTGAACACAAAATGAAGGAAATTACTGCATTATCAGATTAAATATGAGCATATGGTCTAATAAGGACTTAAAGGAACTAGCGGAACTGCTTAGTTCCGCGGAACTGAACCCCTTCTGGAAGGGGGGCAGTTTCACTAGTTCCTTTACGTTCTTATTGGACCATATGCTCATATTTAATCTGATAATGCAGTAATTTCTTTAATTTTGTGTTCAGTTCTTGTCGAAACACCAAGTTATTGGTAAAATCTCAAGGAAGAATTTAAATTACAATTCCAGAATTGATTCGTTCAATTTAAATTCTGATTCTAGAATCGAAATAGAATTGGAATTGAAATCAAATTTTCTTTAAATTCTAATTAAAATTCTAGAATTTTTTTAATGCAATTTCGATTCTTTTATTTCGATTCTAGAATTTTAATCAGAATTTTAATTCACTACTTACACACACAATTCCATATTAAGTTTAAATTTTGAAATTTTAGCTAAACTACCAACTTAAGCAATGACATTAGGATCTATTAAAAATCTTTAGAATAGCAGAAACTAGTTAATCATATCCTGAACTCAAAATAAACTGCTATTAAAGTAAAATTTCAACTTCAAAGTTCAATATTTACATTCCACTTGTGATGGTGTTACTGACTCGATAAATATGAATTCAAATTTTGCAAATTTAAACTTTAAAGTCTAAGTTCTCACATTTCAATTTGAAATTTAATCGTGAAAGATTTGCGATATATAAAAATCAGATTCTGGATTTTAATGTTTAATTGAAAAAGGAACAAAAGCAGAACTCGTTTAAAGATTGTATTATTGTGTCTCAATTCTTTCTCTTCCTCACTAATTTCATTTTTCATATTAAATCTGGCTTGTTTTTTTTGCATCAATCAAAACCTTTTTACTTTTTTTTCCAATTCCATACCTTTCAATCTATATTTTTAAACATAACCTCAAAAAATATGATAATAATTAATAACAAATATCAATCAAGTTTTGTACATAAATAAATATTTAAAAGTAATATCCTTATGTTGATAGAAAAATCGGGTCTGACTGATGGAATATGTTTAGATAAAAGCATAACATCCTTCATCATTCAGTTCACAATCATACCCAGACATTCATTAAACAAACATTTATGTTTTGATATAGAAAATAAGAAAAAAATAATCATTAAAATAATTTTTTATTTACACTTGAAATCATAAAAACAAAGAAGCTTCATTCCGTTGTAGATTTCCATTTTTATGTACAGAATGTAAAGTCTTTTTTAATTGAAAGAAAATTTCTTAGTGGAAAAATATTTTTATCTTTCTGTTATGAAAAACAGGCACCGTCGAGATGCCAAAGGAAGATCACGGAGTGCTGATTATTTCAGCGGCAGCCGTCGTATCGTTCCTAACCTGTCTCCTATGCATCCTCTGTCAACGAAAAAGAAAACGTCGACACCATAGGCAATTGCATCGTAATGCGCATTATGATTCAACAACTAGTGCTACTGGTAAGGAACTTGACTATGTTTTCTATTGATTTTATAAAGGATGAGACAGTAGACAGGAATTTAGTGTGTGTCTAAGGCTAGGGAGAAACATCATGATAGGAAATTTTATAATATTAAGTTTACCGCCAATTTTTCAAGGGGAAAACAACATGATGAGAAAAACTTTGATTTGAAATATTTCACAGATTTTCGATCAAAACTTTTCCTATCAAGTTATTTACCCCTTATTCTAAGATAATTGGAGTGAAACCTGCGTCAATGCTTTGCTAGACGATCAGTTCCTTTCTCTTCCTAGAACCTGGTTTCTCAAAATTCCACAGAAATTCAACTAAATTCACAGGAACAAAATTAAAAATTTTATATATCAATATTGAACCCGAATTAAGGCTCACAGGCCATAAAACTTTACACCGGCATTTTACTGACTTCCATTTTTATGGCAAACAGCATAAAAAAATTTGCAATAAAATCCAATACGTTTTTTATTCATTTCCCTTCCAATAACGTCCGTTTAAATGATCCATCTACAAATTCCATAGAAAAAGTAATCAACAGACAAAATCCCCTTTAGTCCTATTTCGATCTGTTTACAGCTGAAAATGAAGCAACTTCTCTTTCTTTCTTTTTGTAGGCTTAAATTCAAGTAGAAGAAATTTACAAAGCAGCTTATCGGGAAGTGTTCATGGAATAAGTTCAGGTATGTTTTAAAGCTACTTAAAGGAAAAATGAAACTAAATGTAAGTCTTGACTTAATTACATATAGGTTCATTGAGAATTCCACCAGCTCCAGCACCACCAACCTCACTTCCGCCTCCTCCACCTCACGTTTGCATTAGCGGTGGTATTATAGATGACATGAATGATCCAAACGACGAATTAGATGATGATGAGGACGATGATGAGAACATGATGGACAATGATGAATGTCAAATTCATTTGAAAGACGATATGAATGTTATGGATGCAGATCTAACGAATGATCCGTTTATGAGTTTAAATGCAAACAATATTATGAGTAATACCAATAGTAATAGCGTAAACCATTACATGAATATCAGTAGCACTATAAATCCCAACGCCAATACATCCGTTAATGACTATTATCAAAATGTTATGCAATTGCAAAATGGTGAAAGCGTATAACAGTAATTTTTTCTTATCTATCAATGCACAACAACAAAAACAAACTACAAACAACAGCAACAACTATTCATTAAACCAAATAAAGAAAAAAAAAGTAATAATAATGATGATAAAACAAATAAATAAATTAACATTAAATTTACTGCAAAAAAAATAAATAAATAAATAAATGAAAGAAATTATATACAAATTTTTGTACTCGTAATTGCAACAACAGCATGAAATTTATGAAAAAATTAATTAAAAGTTTGGGTCGGTTTTAGTGAGTTGAATGGAATTTAATTTATTTGATATTATTATGGATTTTTTTTTGTGAGCTTCAGATTTAATAAATATTGCGAAATTTTAATAAAATGTTAAGCTTTAAAACTAGACTGATTCTAAATTTCAGAAATTAAGTTTTGCGACTCTAGTATAATTTAAATCTAGTGATCTAGTACTTCTCTAGATTCTAGATTGCTTAGAGTCGTTAATAGAATGAATTAGTACTAAAGTTGTTTATTTTGTACTAGATTTTTCTCAAAAATTTAAAAAGTACTAGAATTGTTGAAAATCAACAATTAGTGTACTAGAATTATTCAAAATTTATCAAAAAAAAAGTACTAGACTACTTCCATAATAATCGGCGATTAAAAAAAACAATGGAATTGTAAATCAAACAATTGTAGATCAGTTTTAGCTCAAATATGTCATTAGTAAGTCTTAGACTCAAGATTTCAGGGTATTAGTTATTATGATCAATAATTAGGTTTTAAAGCAAAAAAATCATTGATTTGTCGAGCCACTTTCGCTCATATTCTAGTAGTTCAATCTACTAGATTGCTACTCAATAACCTTAAAAGCTTGGAAAAGTCCAAGACTTTTTTGAGCTCCTGAAATTCGACTATGAACATTATAAATGTTCAAACCTTTAAAAAATCACAAATTCTTCACTCAAAATCTATAAAATTAAAATCTCCTCACTAAAGCCAATCCTAGTTGTTTAAAGGCAAAGAAGTAAACCATTACTTCCTTGTTTGACTCAAATTGATTAAAAATTAGGCAAAATATTTTACTTTCTATTAGAGAAAAAAATAATTGAAAAAAGTTTCCCTCCTCACTCATCGATTGTACTCTATAAGGATTATACATATAATTTAATAACTGATAATTATTAATCACATCTATAAATTTCACACATCCTGTAAGTTGATTTTATTGTTTGAATGCAGTTTTTTGAAGTTATTTGGTTTATTGAGCTATGGATGTGGAAGATTAAGGATTTTTCATGTTAAATGAAATGATCTATAGTTCTTCTATCTATAGCTCTATTATATCCTTAAGTAGATGCTCATAGCTTTATAGAAAACTTTTAAACAGACTAAATCTATGAATTTATAATTGAATTGTTTGCTCAAACCAAAATTTGTCCCAAATTTCAATTTTCATGATATTCCAATCAATATTTTTAAGCCTTAAAGTTCCTTAAATTCTACAAAAAAAAGTTTAAATCACAAACTCATCAAAAAAATGCATAAAAAAATAAAAAACCTCAAAAAAAGAATTTCATAGAAAAGTTCAATAAAATACACACACACAGGACGTGCACTATACTATGCATATAGCCACTAAGAAACCTAACAAGAGTATCTCAAATATGACACTCGAATATATATCATAAAAAAATCTCAGAATTGCGGAAGGATGGATTTCTGAAAATTGAGAAAAATGCTTGAATCTTTTTTTTTTTTTCAATCGATAATTTTTTCACTCACAAGGAACTTATATGTGCTGTACATCCATCGAGATGATGATGAGACTTGAAAGAGATGAAAAGAATAAATAACAATAAGCTTGAAATCTCAAAGTCGGGAAGTTGGGGTTGATTTGTGAATAATGTTTAAGGGATTTTGAGGATTTGTAGGATTTGTTGAAGCTGATTGAGCTTTCGATAAGATAATAATGTGCTGGGTATGAAGTTTTTTTCTTCAAACTTGATCAGGTTGGAAATTCTGTTTTTCAGCTACTGGATATTGAGTTAAGCTTTAAAATTTTTTTCAACAATTTTCCAGCTTATGAAAACGCACTTATTCATCCAAACCTCAATGGTCAAACATCCCGAAAAACAGCAAACTTTTCATTATCATCTGTAAAAACATTATTTACAAACAAAACCCAATAAAACCTTTCTTAAAACCATCAACAACTCATCAATATTCATATTTTATATACTTTTATGAAGTAGTTATGCACACGAATCACAAGAAATGATTGTTAACAGGAATTTTCAGTCGAGAAGAAAACTTTTTTAAAGAGAGAATGAGAAGAAATTTGATAACAGAAGCTTTTAAAGTTGTAAGAATGTTTTTAAAGTTTTGCTTTTGATTTTTTGTGGCAAATTGAAGTCTTTAGAATCTTACAATTGAGATAATTCAGATAAGTGAAGCTTTTTAGTAAACTTTAAAGTTAATTTATCAACTACTTGCGATTCAGCTTTCATCAGCTTGTTCCTTGAAGGTTTTTTAAGGTTAGTTAAAACCTTTAAATTTAAATTTTGAAAAACAAACAAACAACAACTCCTTAGCACTATAAATCACTCTTTTTAAGTACCAAGCAGATCGGATTTAAATGTCTGCCAACATTTTAGCAAAAATTTGATATGAACTCGTGTGTGTTCATCATATAAAGGAACACAAATAAGAGCGGATGTGGAATTTCTTTAATTTGCTTGCCTCTTCTAGCATAAAACACGATTTTCCTTTAAATTAGGTAATTAAAAATATGAGCAGAATATCATGCTATTGTAATCTCATCCTTAAATTCCCACGAGAAATCACAAATCATTTGAATATCAAAATTTTATTGATTTATTCTGCTTTTTTTGTCATCTAATTGACATTTGATGTGATTTCATAGCTGATTTAAAATGAATTGAGGCATCATTTATGAAGCAAACTGAGCTGATAAGATTTTGAATAACAAAATTGATTTATTAAATTTATTTATGAAATGTTTTAATGAATTTGAAAGGATTTTAAATTGATGCAGGAACTCTTTATATTTAAATCTCTGTTTTATTTGATTCTAAAGCGTTTATAACTAAATGCTGGAGTAAATGGAGAGTTTTGTGCTGCATAGCAAGATATCTGTAATGAAAATAGCTAAAACTAGCTGAATTGTTCTAAATGGCCCTGAGAAAAGGTAAATTGCGCTGTATAAAGGTTAAATTTGCTGAAAAGAGCTGAATCTCTCGTAGCAGGGCTGAATTACACTAAACAGAGCTGAATTGAACTAAATAGTGAGCTGAATGACGCGTAATGAAGCTGAATAAACTTAAACAGCACTAAACTACGCTGAACTACGATAAATAATTCTGAATTGCTCTGAATGTTTCCGAGTTAATCTAAATAGAATCAAATTCTCTAGAACAGTTCAATTGTGCTGAGTAGCATTGAATGTTGTCCAACTTAAATCAAACACAGCTGAAAAGAATTAATTTTAATTCATCAGAGCTATGTGAGAGATTTATCAATTTCTAAATAATATCATCAAACTTAGGCAAAAAAGAACTTTATTGAGCAAGTTAAAGTATAGCTGAGATGAACAAGCATAACGTTTGAAGATTTTGATTTTCCACTTCATTTTTACATCCACAAACTTTAAAATAAATCATTTAGAATGAAAAATTGAGAAGCGAAAGTTAAGAACAAAGTTTCTTTGGTAGACATGGTTCAGGACCTTTCCTATAAATTGTTAAGCTTAGTACAGGTTGAGCTATGTCAAACCAAAGAGCCATAACCCAGACAACTAATAAAGTAACATTTATAAGAATCCTTCCCCAGTACTTCCAATAAAAACTCACGAGAAAGAGCAAAAAATGAGTTTTATGAAAAATCACGAGAAAAAGAATTGCCAAAAACAAGTAATAACGATGAAAAGTTGCAATTAATTGTAGTAGATAAATAAAAAGCATTAAAAAAGTAAAATAAAAAAAATTAAATGGATGAAAAAAATGTTGTAATCTAATAAAAATTAATTATCTTTCTATATCTACAGCATCAGTGAAGTGTGAAATGGAGATGAGAAATTAGATTTTTATTTTCAATTCTTATGTTTGTTCGAAATCAATGTTACGTGTTGTATACATAAAAAAAGAAGATATGCATTGGATATATAACATCAGAATTACAGGGAAAAATGAAAATTAACTTCCGTTTGATATTTGCACAGCAACTCAGTCTCTTATTCTCTCAAATGCCAATGCAATTTTGCGATATGTTCATTTCCTTTCCATTTCCCACATTCGCTCATCTGCGAATATTTTTAAAATTACTAACAACAAAAAATTCTATGTATTTAATTATTTTACTTTACATTTTAGTTCCCATTTCATCTCTATAAATACACGGCAATAAATGAAAAACTTCATTTCATGAATTTCTCATCTATTTTATCATTATAATAAGTATTATTGAGTGTCTGTGAGTATGTGCTGGCATTTTGTTTTGACTATTCGAGGATAATGAGATGAATGGCTTTATAGTACTCTAGAATGTTCAAATTGAAACTGATATTTAGAGTATTCCCTTCGAAATACCTTATTAAGCTCCTGAATTGATCTAATTGAATCTATTTAAATCCAAGAACCTCTATTTCGCATTAAGAATCAAGTTTGAAGTTGTATTTTTCAATTCTTAATAAAATAAGCCAATAAAGATTTATGTTGGTTGTTTGCTTGGTTGAAATGGAAGTTAGGTGATCCCTAGTGTTGGTTATGATGAACACAATGTTTATGTATTAATAAACTCAATCAAAGACACCTTTTTAATATATCTATTCGAACATACAAAGAACATGCTCAGAAAAGTGAGCATATAAGTGAGTCTACTCAAAAATTATACTCATGCAAGCTCATTCAACTGAGCATGCTCAGGAGTTCATTACGAATGTACTCACTTTATTTTTTTGCAAAAAATTTATAAGCTCACGTGAGTACATTCAACGAGTGTACTCATGAGAATATTAAGAACATACTTATGGGTATTTACTCTTATGAATACACTTTCTAAACATACTCATGAGCATATAATGATTATAATTATATCTATGTGATATTTTCAAAAATGTCGACCAACTTAAAATCAAACTTAGAATACATTTTTATGTAAGACGACATTTTCAAAAATGTCGACCAACTTAAAATCCAACTTAGAATATATTTTTATGATAGTCGACATTTTTCAAAAATTGTCGACCAACTTAAAAGCAAATGTTGAATATTTTAGATATGTAATACAAAAATGTACGAAACTTTTTACAATTTTAAGTTTTCTGAATTAAATGTCAAGAGTTTCTCAAGGAATTAAATTAAAAATTACTTTGTTTTAAAAAACTATAAGAATTAAGCACGATCAAAATCTTTTGGCTTTCATGGAACTAATATTTGAATTCATAAAATATTTTGAAAATGTAGACTTACTTAAAAATGTATTCTAAGTTTAATTTTGAGTTTAAAAAAATGTCGACTTACATAAAAATGTATTCTATGTTCGATTTTAAGTTGGTCGATATTTTTCAAAAATTTATTCTAAAATTAATTTTAAGTTGGTCGACATTTTTCAAAAATTTATTCTAAGTTTAATTTTAAGTTGGTCGACATTTTTCATAATATGTTCTCACGATCGTGCTCTGATCAACTCGAATATTTCATAAAAATATAGTTCAATTAAGCATCGTATCAAACTTCAAAGAACTTAGTTTGCCTGTAATAATATAATAATTTAAGTATGTGTTTTGCCATAAAAAAATTGTTATATATTTACAGAAAATGGTTCCAAGGAAAAGTGTGAGGTGACAGAAGTTAAGCAACGCAAAAGGTTTTCCTACAAGGATGGGTGACCGGTTTTTAAAACTTCCTTCTTAAGTATTTGAAAAAATGTTAACAATAATTTCTAAATCTTCCAAAATTATTCTCAGAATTGTCCTTAAAAAACTCAAATTTAACTTAATTAATTTTTTGAATTTTGTGACTTTAACTGATTTCACTCATGCATGTGCTCAGATGAGCATATACTCATAAATAAACTCACTGAGCATATGTATATCTTTTGAGTATCTTCATGAGTATAAGCTCTTTGAGTATGTTTATGAGTTTACTCAGTGAGCTTAATGCGTGTCACATAGGAATGTGCTCACTGAGCATACTCAAAAAGGTACCGTGATCGCATCATTTTAATGTATGAAATGAGCACATTCTCACAAAAATTTGCAAGCTCACACATAATGTGCTTTGAGTATACTCATTGTATGTTTGAGTTAATAACGATGTTTATTGTTTTACGATTAGGAAACAGTCTAAATATAGGGTTGGGCAAATATTCGAATATATTCGAATATATTCGAATATGAACAAAAAAATATTCGAATATATATTCGAATATTTGAAATTCAAAAATGAAAAAATACGTTATTTGTTGATTAGCATTTTTCAACTTGCCTGTAATTTGTAAATGATAAACAATTCATATATGAGAATTAAAGATATTAAATTGTTAAATATGCTATAATTAATGATTTTGTGTGTATCCTTTGGCAAAAAGCTTTCAAAAACTTACTGACTGTTAGAAAATTTGAATCTCAAAAGACCGTTAAATGAAAAACTTTTTCTATATGGAAATTCATTGGAACAAATTATGTAATTAAACTATAACTAATGTTTTCGTAGTGCAACTCCTAGCGGGAAAATTTTCAAATATTTATTGACCGTTAAAATTTTTTAAAAGGCGACTTCAAATATTCTTTGATATCAAATTTTTTCAATTGAAAAAATCATGTTAAACAATTACTAAAATAGATCTAATTTTAATGAAAAAGCAATGGAAGTCCTTTCTCTAGCCAAATGCGTCGATATTTTAGTTGTAAGTTATTTAATTAATTGTTAAACATTTATTTAAAAAAAATCACGATTAATAACGGTTATTTTTTGAATTATGTATATTCGAATATATATTCGAATATATGCGCACATTTATGTGCGCACATTATATTCGAATATATTCGAATACGATTCTGCCCAACCCTATCTAAATATCAGAGATCGAAGCCGATTTTTTCGGCTTAACTCAATTTTTGATCTTTTTGATAGAAAAAAGCCATTTGACATCCATTTCAAGTATTTAAATTGAACTTTACATGCTTTACTATGATTCCGTGTAATATTTTGTCAGCACGTAGCTATAGGAAGCTCAGAATTTTCAAAAAAATCAAAAATTGAGTTAAGCCGAAAAAGTCGGCTTCGATCTCTGCTAAATATTCATATGAAGGGGTTAACAACTATGAACGGGGAAACAGACTAGTTATAGTTGCATATATAATTTAAATATTAAATAACCGTTACTATATTCTCAACACCTAGCAAAGGTCTAGGATGTCATACTATCTTGTTAAAGACCCTTCCTTGTGTAAAACTTGAGCTGGACTTCAATAAAGTTTGTTTTAAGCTAAATCAAAGAGACTCAAATGAAAAGAACTTCGAGTTCTGGGAAGAACTAGATCTCTATGCTGGAAAGCTTAGAAATCAAAACAATTTAAAATAGCTAATGTCAATAAGGATTCCAACTCCTGTTTCTTTAAGATTTTGAACATGATTTAAGCTTACAGAATGTGTTAAACTTAAATCCTCTGAGAATATCTTTGATCTTTAATTTAATCACAGTGCTTCCAGCTCAAAAAGACTAGGCACTTTCCTACGATTTTTAACTTTGATCTTAACACTAATAAAGCTATTCCTCAGAATCTCCAAAATGCCATCTACTTACCCACACTCACTCATAAAATCTTTTTAATAAAAAAACTGATTTAAGAAAAAAATTAAAAAAAGAATAAAAAAATAATTAAATTAAATAGAAAATGTAATTCCTAATGTTGTTTGTTATGAGAAGAAAAAAATCCCTTAATTAATAAAAAAAAAATCAACAATTAATACAGACACACACTCACACATGATGACGAAGAACCGACATTAAAAATTATCAAAATAAAAAAAAGTGAAATAAAATAAAAAATAAATCCCAATGTGGTAAAAGTTGTTAAAAATTAATCTAACGATAGTGAAACATTTTACTATAATAAAATGTGAATGAATGATTAAAAAACATGTTAAGGATATTAGAAAGCATTTTGATATTATTGATTAAAAAAATAAAGAAAATGAATTAATGAAATGATTATGTAATGATTTAATTGATAATGAAAAAGTCAACATATTGATGAAATAAACGAGTTAACGGTGACATAAATTTAATTAATAAAAAAATATAATCTTGTTTTACTTCCTCTTTGAGCATTCATGTCAGTTACAGGTGATTACAGAAGGTTTGAAGTCAAAAGAACTCTGTGGGATGTGTTTTTAATTTACATAAGGCTTTTGAAGATGGCAGAGAAATTAATGAAATTTTTCAGATGAGATCAGGGACTAGCTAGCTTATTACAGATCAGATGCTGATATCTATGTCTTTGGATCGGGTATAAACTGTCCTCTGATCCAATTAAATATAAACGTTAAATCAAAACTTAAACTCCAGGTATAAAATGGGTTCGAATCGTACTTTTAATCTTCCCTAAACTCCAACCGTTCTTTCATCTAGAGTTTATCATCCTTTATTAACCCTTGATCCAGAATTGATAATCAGTTCAGTCAAAAATTCAAAAATTCATAAAAAAAACTGCAAACTCACCTTCTCCAAGTTCAAAAGTCAACAAGCATCACCTTCCAAATATTTATTATTTGCGGAACCTCTTTATTAAATTCCTTAAGCAATAATTTTGACGATAAACATTTCTTACACATTTATTTCCCTACTGACTTGATAAGGCTACTACGTCAATTTTTTAATTTTTTTTTTCTTATCATGTGTATACCATTAGTCAACAGGTGAGTATCACGATTGTTTATCAATTCATTATTTTTTGATTACTGCCTATAATAGAGGAGGTAATTGTTTTTACTATAATAGTGACATACAGACAAGAAATCTGAATTAAAAAGGCAATATTCTTTGGCCATAAATAGCACCACTACAGGTGCAAAATAATCTTCTTACAAATGTTTGTGGTTTCTAATCATTTCGATAAGAGGATTGAGGCTTTTCATTAAGCCTTCATGATAATTTTGGTAGAAAATATAGAGATTGAAATTTGTAACGAATTTTTATGATTTAAATTGTTTTCAAAACACCTCAACAGCTTAGGATTTTGTAAAATTTGTAGGGTTTTGAAAATTTGAAATTTTGTCCGTTAAACTTACATTAAAATCAATTATAAACAGTTCTTTTGCTGTAAAAACTCAATTTCCAATTAAATCTGATGGATTTCATGCACAGGAATCACAAAAACAAGTCACAGCTCCTTTAATAATTAAGCTATTGCACTTTTATTCAATAACTTTCCCACCACAAATTTATTTTCACACATTTTAATTATTTAAAAAGGACTTGAGCATCTCAATACCCTCAGTATTTTGATCATAACCTGGTGCATCTTTCATTGTTTCGAGCCAATTTGTGATATTTGGATATGTTGCTGTAAAATCAAATCCAAAAGCTTCGATTGTCGAGACAGTTGCATAAAGTATCAAGTCAGCAATTGTCAGGCGATATGAGACAAGATACTTTTTGTCAGCTAGGAAGTTCTCAAGATATCCAACAGCTTCATTCAATGATTCTAATTGTTTCTCATCCTGTGCAGTTCCAGTCATGAATGGGATAATGTAATATTCATACATCCTCTTAAACAGCGTTCCCATGTCAAAGTAGATGAGTTGATTGATAGTTCCACGAGTTTTTGGATTCTTTGGATATAGAGCATCAGTTCTGCCGTACTTTTCAACGAGATAAATGCAAATGGCTCTTGATTCTGACAATGTGAATTCATTATCAACCAATGCAGGCACTGAATGATGGGGATTAACCTTAAGGAATCCTGGATGATATTGTTCTCTGGCCATCAAATTAATTGGCTTTAAACTCAATTTAAGCTTCAATGCAGCTGCGACCATCATTACAGCACGGCATGGTCCAGAAGCTATAAAAATTGTTTATAAACTTTTTTATTACATAATTCCAATTATTAGGGGTCACCATGACTTATTAATAAGTTGAAAATTCTTTTTGGAAAATAACGGTCAAAAAAGTATTTAAAATTTATGTTTTTTTCAAATATTTTTTGAACGTTAATTTTCAAATATTTTGTGACAGTTATTTAAGCTTTCTAGTTCCAAAAACAGAGTCAATTTCAGACATCATAAGTGGACGAATCCCATTTTTATTTATTTATTACCCGGTGTATAGTACAATTGAGTGTCTCTTTTGTCGTTCCTCAACATTATCGCTGATTATCAAAAAGTTATGACTTTTAATCAATTTTGGCTTAGGTACACGAATTTTACAAGACACAGGTTCTACTACTGTGAACAGAAAGACGACAACTGAGGAAAAACAATCAAAATTTCATAACATGTAGGCATAAAGGTATTTTTTGATAACAATACAGATAGTGCTGTATCTTATCAGGCGTCGTTCGCAAAAGTGCATTGGAATTATTGTTTTAGTGGGAAATTATGCAATTTACAGAAGCATTAATTTATTATTAAGGAGGTGAAAGTTGAGATCCTAAGTACTGAAGCTAAGTTATGTGTATTAAGTGGATATTTATCATGATCCTCATGTTTTACCTAAATATTCACAAAGATTCTGTTGAAAATCTCAACGGCTTTTTGAAATTTAAATTTCCCACAATTTTTCAGCCAACCTCTGTAATTCCAACTTCTTTTGTTGACATCCAAAAAAATTCATCAATTTTGCAAAAATGGATTTATCATTTATTAAAAATCCTGAATTAACGTTCATAATAAGTGACAATGATGTACTTAAGTTCGACAAGAAGAAGCTAGAGACCAAAAACAAACAGTATTTGATAGAATTCAGCAATGATGAACTGGAAATTCTGAAAAAATTAAGTGATGTAAAATGTAAGGAACCAGAAAGTGATGAAATATCGAAGAAATCACCAAAGAAGCATCGAGGCAAGAAGAAGGAAGTAACACTAAGTGAATTAAAGTCGATTAAAAGCCAATTAGGAGATGATAAGTATTTGTGTGATGTTCTGGATAAAATCGAAGTAAAACTTCCAGAAAATGAAATTGTTGAGCGAAATCCTGAATTAGAGGCACGGATTCAACGGCTAAAAGCACAACAGTCTAATCTGGAATATAATAACATGACAAAAAATGTTGATGGCAGGCGAAAAGCAGTTGAGCCAACAGAATCAATTGCATATCAAAGTAAGTCTAATAAAAATCTCATTTTTGGTCACCTGACTTAACTCATTTCCTTTTATGTTGCAGTGAAACAGATTAATCGTCAGTTAATAGCTGTAGCTCAATTCATTTTCTCCGTCGTGTCTGGATTCTTCTTTGGTTTTATTGGCATTGAACTCATTATTGGTGATTTAGACTTTGGATTCCGACTTCTTTTGGGTATTATCTGTGCATTAGTCATCGCCTTAGCCGAAATTTATTTCTTAGCAAAAAAGCTTATCGAGGAAGAGCGTGAGGATGAAAAAGCAAAAATTGTGGAAGTAAAGCCGATAAAAGTTGAGACGCCCATTAAAGATGCAAAGGAAAAGAAGACAGACTAGATAAAAGCATAAAGCTTATTAATGTACTGAATATTTCTATATAATAAAAATCGATTAATGAATTATGAATTCTAGAATATGCTTTAATTATTAAGGAACAAAACTTTTTACAGTTTTAACGGTAAAACAAATTTCAATTTGTGAAGAAAAAAAGTTTTGTTATGCAATTCAAATTCATAATTTCCGTTATAATTCAAATTCAAAATGTCAGTTAAAGACAGTCAGTGTTTCTTTAGAAGGAAGTATAACAAAATTTCAATTTATTCCTTACAGTACGTACCATATCATTTAAATAAATATCAATGTAGTTTATGGCTAATAAAAGAAATAATTAAGGTATAATAGCTTCATAGCCAGTGTCATGCTCATGTTAGCATACAAAAGCCTCATTTGAAAGCTTCATACCTCAAAAATAAAGTTAAAGTCTGCACAAAACCAAATAAGTAAAACTAATTCTCTTAAATCTAAGATTGCAAATAAAATGTTGTTTAACATTCAGTTTTATCACAGCTACTGTTGCTAATTTTGTCGTTCTGCTTAATAATTTTAATATTCTTCGAATCCTTATCTAAAAGTACTAGTTCATTCTCATTATTCGACTCATGATGTGATCCATAAGCTTCATATGGCTTAGGTTTGAAAATACTTAAAATAACTGGCAAAAAAACCACACCGAAATAAAGTCCAAAAATTACCACAATTATGAAAATTTTAAAGAATGTCCTGAATGTGTAAGCATCTGATGTGGCTAATAGCATGATTGCGAGCATTGTTGATCCACCGCCTTCCAGGACGGCACCTCCTATTTCTTCTACTGTCAAAAGAGCTCGTTTGTTTCCATCCGGTTCCGATATTGTTAAAAATGTGTGTCCAATGTGGGCTGCATAGTCTGAAGAACAAATGGAAATCATTAGAACCTTACAAATTCTAGATATTTTCTTAAATCCGTACAAATTCTAAGACTTGAACCATACAAATGTTTTAAAAATTCAAATTTTACAAAACCGTTAAAAATTCAAACTCAACAAAACAGTTAAAATTTAAATTTGTAGAAACCGTTTTAAAAAACATTTGTAAGGTTTTGTATCAATAACTGCATTTCTAAGACAATTCACTAACCAATACATAGTCCAACACTCAATTGCAGTCCAATAGAAGTCACAATATCCAACGTCAATCCCCAGAACTGCATAAATCCACCAATACTGACAAGTGATAGCAGAACGCATGTAAAAATGTAGGCGCACACTTGAATATTGACAATCATAACTGTTGTACATATAAACACTCCAATCAGTGCCAATGAAATATTCCGATAAATCTCTGAATCAATTATCTCGTCTGTATACCAATTCGCAAAAACACGTCCCCAAACAAAAACGTCATTTTGTGAAAAGTTTAATGATTTTACGATATTCTCAATTGATGCTCTAGCTGGAATGAACTCATCGCGATCATCAAATCGAAAATATGTGTAAGTAATGGATGAAATTAAAATATCTGATGCTGGCTGTCCACAAATGAGTTTATCAGTGAATCTAAAATTAGCTTGAAACTTCCCACCATCAACACTGAACAGGAACTTTGATAAATAATCTTTCCATTCTGCATCACTAAGTCGATATGTCATCAAGTCAATTTCATAGAGACTAAGCACAAAATCTTGAAACTTTATCGGCCATGCTTGCACATTTGATAGAATTTCACTTTGATTCTCAATTTCTTTAGCCATCAAAATGATTTTGGACAGATCTGCTGTATAATTAAGGTTGTTCATATAAACACCAGCTTCAAATCCACGATTTGGATAATATTCTCGATGTTCCATGACATATTCATAGAAGTAGGTCTTTGACGGAATAAACCACATTGGATCGAATTTCTGCTTGATCAGGAGCAATCGATGAATTGAAAATCCTGTTATAGCTACAACTGACAAGATGACTGCAATTTTCCCAAATTTTGTAAGAATAATTTTGCCATGAAAAAAGTGCAGGAAGTTCCACATTAATTTAGGTTCGCAACTTGGAGTCTTTTCTTCATGTTTGATGCACGGCACTAAGCCATTACGCTTATCAGCTACACGCTTCTCATCAATTGTAAGTACAGCAACAAAGAATGTCACGACATAAATGTATGTCATTAAGATACATAAAGCACCAAAAATACAAAATGATCGTAAGGACGGAAGAATTGTGAAGGAACCGACTAAAAATGCTATAATGTCTGTTAAAGACGTAATTGTTATTGATGCACCAGCTTTTTGCATTGTTCTTGCTATTTTCTCCTCTAAACTCATTTCAATGTTGTTGATGCTTGTTATTTTTCTGTATGCAGCCATGATCACGAAGATGTCATCGACACCAAGTCCAAGAATAATGAAAAATAGACTCGAATGGACTGGTGTGTAGAACATAAATGTTGATGCTAATCCACAGCCACTTATATAAGCCATTCCAATATTCATGACACCAAATGATGTCAATTGAAGACGAAGTTCCACCCAGCTGTATTTAGACAGTATGAAAACCATGTAAATTGTCATTAAAAATGTTCCAAAAATAACTTTTGAAATGTCTTGGAAGAGAGTCTTTTCAGAAATATCTCCATAGCTTCTACCTGCTGCATAATAAATTTTAATATCTTCAGTTTCAAATTCACGCTTCAACTTTCCCATTAAAATTAAAAATTTCTCCTCAAATCTCATTACATTGACCGTTGTCCACGATTCAGTTCCAGCGGCATTGCCAGTTCTTTCTAGATTAATTTCTGAGAAATTTAAATGAAGATTAAAATTAGTCAGGAGAGATTTTGCTGATATTACGTGACCATTCGCGTTCCTCTCTACATCACCCAAGAGAGTCGTGAAATTCATTTCATGTCCAGTCACTCGATTAATGTACGTTGTGTCTATTTTCTCTGTGATGTCATGTTTAGTAAGATTTGATGTCTCTGCATTCCACATGTCCAAAATATTCTCGTGCATACAGCCGAGCTTTAATTTACTTACTATTGAACAATATTGCTTCGTTGTGATCTTAAAGGATGGGTCAAACATCTTTTTAATAAAATCATCTGGATTATTGTTAATCATTTCTCCAAGATCTTCCGTAGTATCGTCATTTGAACGTTTGTGCTTGTTATTTGATCCCATACTGTCCATCAATTTTGAATAGATTGTGATTAAAGGCACTCTAAAATTGGAAAAGATAACGATCAGTTTAAATTTAAATTATTTCGTTAAAAACTCAAAACCAAAAAACTCGTTAAAATTTTAAATCTTGAAAACTCGTTAAAGCGTTAACTCACTTGAAGCATAAATCGTTTAATTTTTTTACTCCTCCATGTTCTCCCTCAATTTTAATATTATTGATCTCCCGAGTGATTTTTCTCAGTTTTGAAAATACTTCTTCAGTAAGTACATTATTTTTACTAATTATCAAGACACTCTCTGTCTTTAAACCCTCTTTGTAATTTTTTACGATGAATTTTGTATGCTTGTGAAAGTCAATGTTGTCTGGGACCTGAAAATGGACATGATTATAAGGCACAGAATTTTAAATAATTAAGTTGAGCTTACCCATAGCTTAAATGGATCCTTTTCTTGATAGAAATTTAAGAATCCTGTAGAGAATATTAATACTGAGAGCCAGCAAATCGCAATCACTTTCCATGGATTTCTAGCGACTCGAAGTCCTAAACTGTAATTAAATAATTTTAATTGTGAAAATAACGATCAATAAATATTCAAAATAAGCAGGTTGTTGGCAAAAAATTCGAGCAGGTTGCACTGTTGACATAAAAGTTGAGCAAGTTACACAAAAAAGAAAACTAAAATCTCAGAAACAGAATGAATTTAATTAAATCCCTTACGTTGAGCAGTGCAAAGGTGAGTTAATGCTTGCAGCTTTCAATTAAACTTATCGGAATTCCCTTTGCAACAAACTTTATTCTTATCAATTCGAATGGTATTAAAAATCTTTTGTTTTTTGCCATTATCGTATAGCAAATTATTAATCCATCGCTGCTGCTCCAACATAAAAGAGGATTAGGTCTAATTCCGATTGTTATTGAACAGACTGGGCGAGGCGAAAGAAGTTATGATATATTTTCGAGATTATTAAAAGAGCGAATTATTTGCTTAATGGGACCGGTAAATGACAGCATTAGTTCCTTAATTGTCGCTCAATTATTGTTTCTACAGTCCGAGAATTCAACAAAGCCAATACACATGTATATTAATTCACCGGGTATATCATTTTCGATGATTCTAAAGGTCAAATTAATTATTGAGTATTTTTTGTGTCTGCAGGTGGAAGTGTTACGTCTGGATTGGCAATTTATGACACTATGCAGTATGTTAAGCCTCCAATCGCTACTTGGTGTGTCGGGCAAGCATGCTCAATGGGTTCTTTATTGCTCGCAGCTGGTAAACATTTGACAATCTTAATTAATGACTATTGACATGCTAATTAGCATATTTTCAATCAACAGGTGAGCCAGGAATGCGTCATTCATTGCCTAATTCTCGAATTATGATACATCAACCAACAGGTGGCACTCAAGGACAAGCGACTGACATTCAAATTCAAGCAGCTGAGATCTTAAAGCTCAAGAAGAGATTGACACAAATTTATGCAAGGCATACGAAGCAAGAATATGAGATATTAGAGGCAAAAATGGAGCGCGATACATTCCTGGATCCAGAGGAAGCAAAACAATTAGGTATAATTGATGAAGTACTTGAACATCCACCAAATGTTCACATCGATAATAGTTTATAATTTATACATGAATGAGAATTAATTACAGCAAGTGAATAAAGAAACAGATGAAAAAATATGTGGGCTATTCTCCAGATAAAAATTTTCAAAAAACCACCACTAAAATGAATTTTTTATAATTTTTTTCCATTAGAGAGCCTCGAAAGACAAATTAATATTGTACAACTTTTTAAACTCTACAAATCTGTATAATTAAATGCTTTCAATATACTCTAATTAAGGAAATATTTCGATTCTTCGGACGATTTCTCGAAGACAAAATATGGAAATTGGATTTTTATAATCAAAAATTAAGTATTAAAAACTATTCTTTGACATATGATATAAATACCAATCGATAGAAAACGAACTACTTTATCATATATGACAACAATTTTATTAAGCTTAATACAAATTTCACAAGAAAATTCAATTCTTTTGATGAAAATTTTGTCTTCGAGTAATTTTTAAAGCGCTTGAAACTAATTTGTGAGATTCAAATTTTTCAAATACGTTATAAATTTAAATGTAATATTTTTAAAAGAAACGATGATGATTGAGTGCAATATTAATTATTAATTACCTTTTGTTTAATTAAAACATATAAAAAAAAATGATTTTTATAAATTAAAACAAAATTTTATTTTTGTAAACAAGTCTTTGTTTACATTTTTCCCAACGTATTTCAAAAATTTAAAAATTTCAAGTAGCAGTGGAATTACAGTTCTGTTTTTAAAAATTCAACCTATCTGGAGAATCGCCCATGTTGCATTATCTTTTAAACAAACTACAAGATCCAAAGTTCGTTTGCCTTATTTACAGTTTATTGACATGCATAACGAAGATCTTAAGTATCAATACTGATCAATACAAGAAAGTTTGACCTTGAAATCATCGAGAATCTATTTAATTAAATCATAAATGAAGGAATGAGACTTACTTGTAGAAAAATATTCCAATGCTCGTTGATATGTGATAAGAGAGTTTCTCGATTAAATTTCCATTGTTATCATAACTTAAAGAATTTTCTTTGTTTTTCATCATTTTTCACATAAATTTGATGTTTCCAACATTAAAACTACTTTTTCACAGCTTAAATTCAACTAATTCATTTATTAAACTATTTTGACATTCGAACAGTGCTACTTTAATGTTTATCACGGCACTATGAACTGCATTTATTGAATTTTCATTGATTACTTAATAAAAAACTGAATTTTTGTGTTCAAATTTTTATTCATTTCTGTTGTTGTGTGTTTAAAATTTCTGTAATAGTATTGGTGCGGGGTGAGTAATTTTTATCCTAGGAATGAGTTTAGAGCTTTGTTGTGTAATATTATGAGCTTTTAATGAGTTGTGCAACTGTTGTTCCTTTGTCTGTGTGACGACTTCAGTTTTTTGCTATTTTCTCGTACAATTCAAAATTTTATGGTGAATGTTCTTCTTTAAAGCACGTATATTATACATAGGAATCAGAACATTATGACATGTTTATGATTACTTGCTTCTTCTACTTAAAAAAGCTAAAAATCTGCAAATCATAATTTTTGAAAATTTCTTTACCGTTATTTTTCAAATTTTTTTATAACTGTTAAATCAAAAACTTTGATTTTTGAAGGATTTAAAGCATTTAATTATAATCTCTTCCAGAAAATACGCCATAGACACTCGTAGCTCATCAAAGAAGCATACTGGTTCCAATATTTTTGTCAACAACAGTTCACAGCATGTTCAAGTTTAATTTCAATAAAACGGACGAAGATGAAGAGAAACAGGAAGATATTAAGGAACAAGATCCGCCAATAGTATTAGAAGAATCAAAATCTATAGAAATCACAGCAAATCATTATGAAGAAATTGCTAAATCACTTCCCGATAGAAGTTTCCAAGTATTTTCATCGAATGACATGGAAATTGGCTATGTTGATAACATTAACATCAATGAAATGAATAACAGTGACTTAATATCAGGTGTTTATGAAGGTGGCTATAAAATTTGGGAGTGTACCCAAGATCTGGTGGATTATTTCACAGAAAATTCGGAAAGCATTGATTTTGCTGGAAAGGCTGTTTGTGATCTTGGATGTTCTGCTGGAATTGCTGGACTGTTAGCACTAATTAAGGATGCTAAAGCTGTTCATTTTCAGGATTATGTAGGTCACAAAATGTCTTTCAATAAAATCGTTAAATTCAATAGATTCAATATAAAATTAATTACAGAATCTTGAAGTCCTTGAATCTTTCACGATACCAAATGTCATCCTTTATTGTGAGGAAAATGAGAAATCAGAGAACTTTTCAAGATGCTCTTTCTATTCTGGCGATTGGGATAGCTTTAGAGAATTGACAAGCAATGATGAGAAATATGACATAATTCTAACATCTGAGACTATCTACAATCCAAGTTACTATCAAAAGCTCTTAAATTTCTTCAAAAATCGTCTAAAAGACGATGGACAGATCTTTGTGGCTGCAAAAAGTCATTATTTTGGTGTAGGAGGCAATGTGCTAGATTTCTGTGAATTACTGAAGAAAGACGGAACTTTTCAGTCAGAAGTCGTTTGGAAGTCAAGTATTGGATTACAGAGAGAGATATTGTTATTAAAGAGATGATGAAATTTATTGAATCCAATAAAATATGTTCTTAAACTTAAACGGAAATATTAAATTTGAATTGGTATAGAAAACATTTGAACGGTTTTGAATTTTTAATTCCAATGAAACGGAAAATTAAGGTTCAAATAAAACGATTTGTATGGTTTTTAAGAAACATTTGTAGGATTTTGAATTCAAAACTTTATTTAACGAACATTTTAATAATCTTCCATGTTAAAATTAACGTTCAAAAATCATTTCAACCCTTGTCATAGCTTACGACACACATAAAACTTTTCCCTTTCTTCCATTTTCATGCGCACCACTTTCCATCTCTCTCTCATTATTATCGACTTTCCAAATTCCATTCAGAAATTTTCCTTCCATATCTTTCCTTTTTTTTCAATAGGAACAGTATCAAATGCGAGAAAAGTTTTTCCACACACAAGATTTTGTGTAACTTTCTGATTTCATATTGAAGAAAAATAAAAGTTTATCCATTAAAAATTGCAATTTGAATCTTAATCATTTGCTTAAATCGTATCAATTCTCAGTGAGTTAAAGTTCATTATTAAGTGATTGAAAAATAATAAAAAATTAAGATAGCATTGAAAAAAATTTATAAATTACAAGAAAAAATTGTGTGAGAGAAAAAAAAAGTTTTTCTTCCAGCTAATATTGATTTGTGTGTTGCTACATTACGGATTTGTGAAATTTCACGAGCAAGAGTGAAAATAATTTCAAGACAATCATCAATTAAAAGGAGACTATACAAATAAATTAAAAATGTAAGGACAAAAAATTAATTTTAAAATAATTTTCAATTTCAATATGACGAGAACAAGTTTATCCATTCATAAAAAAAAAGTTCATCATCGTCAAGTGTCATACAGTGGGATAGGGTAGGAGGGGGGTTAATATTGAAAGAAAAAGAAAGTTAAAATAAAACAGGGCCGTAATTTATGGAAGCGAATTTTCATTTTCTCTTTTCTTGATAAGCATTGGATTTCCAAACATGCGCATCGCTTGTGAATGTGTGGGTTGATGGGAACACTCGTCTGTGTATTGAATTGTGCGACATTGTTATCAATAGTGCCACAACTAAGGAACAAGAAAATGTTCATAATATGGGAATATGAGGGAATTTTGTATGCTAAATAAACATACTCGACACACATATACATGTACACAAGTTGTTGAACGTGCAATGGAAAAACTTACTTTATATTTTTCGCGACATTGACATGAATAATGTCTCCACTTTTGTACAAAATAATTTATTATTCAAATGTTTATAATGATGATGCTATAAATTGTGGATTCTTTCCCTTCATGCCTATATTTAGAACAAATAAATACTCTTTACATAACAATTATTGAATCATCTAATGGGAATTCTCAACTTAATGGATGGAAATGAATTTTCAAGCAATTCTGAATGTCTTATGGGTGGATAACTGATAGCTTTTGAGTGATTGCGTGGGATGGAGTGAGACAGACAACACAGAATTCAAGAAGTTGAATTGCTTTTGAATAAATGTAAATGATTATCCTGTTCACGACAGCATGAGTAGGAAATTTTCCAGCTGTTGAGTTGAATTAGATGTTTGATTTGCTTCTTATTCCATCTTGTTCTCAGTATTGTGCTTGAAATGGAGTGGAAAATGCGAATTTATTTACTGATTGTTGTTATCTTTCCAAAATTTATCAAACTGCCGTATAGATCTATCAGATTAATCATTTGTTGATAAAGAGTAGCTTTTACATTAGACCATGCATTAAAATATGAGCAATTCAAATGGCCTAGATTCATTTAACTTCACAAAATCCATTTTCCTTACTGGACTCTTATAAAGAATCCATTTGAGTGAATAAAGAACAAAAGTCCAAATAGAATGTTCAAGCATCAAGCTTTTCTTCGCAAAGAAAAACTCTATGTTTGAGCATTTATCATGAATTCTATGAATGAAAAAAAAAACATCCGGATAGGAATGAATTTTTATCAAAAGAAGCTCTACGAAGTCAAACCATAACAAATTGAATGAACACTCATCTGGGAATAATTTTACATAAGATTTTTACAATTCCTAGATGATAACTCGTACAAGTTTTATTAAATTTCATGAGAAATTGATGTAAAGTTGAGAAAAAAGAAAATTGAATGTTATTCTCGAATAATAGATTAAAAAGAAGGTTTATTTATGATTTATTGAAAGCTCAAAGCTTGTTTCCATACAAAAAATGATCTATGATGAAAAAGATGAAGTTTAATGTCTAATAATTAAGTTAAAGTTATTTTTTGAAAGTTTTCTTGAAAAGTGCAAAATATATCGAATTTTTTAAAGGGTTTGAAACTAAAACTTTCTTGAGGGGATTGAAACTTAGTATTCCAATTTTTAATAACATAATTCAAATTTATTATAACCAAACGTTAATTTATTCTTTATTTTTAATTTTTAAATCCTACACTTCTATCAGATCACAATTCAGAGAATTCACAAAATGGAATAACTTTGTCTCGCATATTTTTGTCTTAAACCCAACAAATACCATAGAAGGTATCAAAAATCTGACATTTCAAACTTTCAAGGTTAAGTGTATTAAATTTTCAGACGAGTAAACTTGAAACTTGTCATGTCTTTGAATATAATTACTGAAAAATTAAACCCACACAAGAAAATCTTCAATTCAAATATTTACAGCTCAGAATTTCATATAATGTAATTTCCATAAAACAACATAAAATCCTAAGCTTTCTTCCAAAAAACCCATCAAGAATATAATTCCCCAATTTGAATGACATGCATTATGATATGCAAAAAATTATACAATCTCATGTACTTCACTAGAAAAATGTAAGCTTGTAAATTGAATCAGAGAGATACGGAATGTAAAAACGAAAATCAATATGCGATCATATTTTAAATTTCATTTCCCTTTTTATTTTCTCGTTTCGTTCTTCTCGCTTATTTCTGTCGTTCCATGACGACTTTTGATGTTTTTTTCAGTCCTGACGAATCTTCAGTCATGCATTAAACAAAAGCTCTCGTTTATATTGCGAGCATATTATGTAATATCGTAATGAGGTTTGATTGTATGCGCATATTATTTGTGATATCTGGAGGGGGAAGTTGGAAGGACTAATGCAATAGCTATAGAATTGATATTCAAGTTTGAGAATGGTTTTTTGTTGAAATTTGAGGAATATGTATGTGATGACATGGTGGTCATGGTATGGAAAATTGTACCGAGATGTATATTTCAAGTAAGAAAATCGGAAGAGTAGCTCTAAAATTTCACAGTTCACACAGTGATGAACAGTGTCCTGAAGATTTTGTTGTGTCCGTAGGGAGTATAACTAGTAGCATATATCGCAATTCTCCTGTAACCTTAACCTAGGGATTCACGATTTCCCGGTCCCGAAGGATTTTCGGGACACGGGACGGGATGGGAACGGGACGGGAATCATCGGGACGGGACAGAGAAAAAAAAATTCTTTTTAAAATAACCGTTTTTCACATACATAATCATATATGAGCTTAAAACATTCTTTTTAAATGAGATATTTCATTTAGAAATGGAATATGTATCCTTTTTACATTCTTAACTGTATAACTGAAACCTAAAAAATTTATTTATCAACGATACCAAACATCTTTAGAAAATTCTTACATATACACTTGCAGGCTAGCTTCAAAATTTGTCAAAACATACTCTTTTTTACTTAATATAACGTTAAATATCGAAGTGCAATTTAAATTTTTTGATTGTTTCTTTTAAAATTATATCAAAAGCAACTTCATAAAACGATATAACGCTGAATTTTTTTTAAAAATCTCCAATTTTTACACTCTCTTTTTAAACTTATTGCTTTAACTTTTACAAATATTTGAATTGATTATTCCGTTTTGATTATTACTACATTATAATATCAACCTGTAAAAGATATATTTTTAACTAACATTGTGGGCCTTCCTTGTGAGCATAGTAAAGAGCTTTTCTGAAAAATTGGTTGTGTTTGTTTTCTAGCGAAACAAAACATGATGTATAAAGTTTTGATTTTTCAGAAATGTAATTAACCCTAATCCACAAATTTCTAGATCAGATCTAGATCTTTCATATATTAAAAATGACGGATCTAGATTTTTGTTGATTATAAAAATGCAAGAAATTTATGCAGTATCGTTCAAAACTTCTATGTTTGAAGAAAAATTTTCATTATGAAAATAACCAGTTATTTTTATTGATGGTAAAATTGATATTTAAGCGAAAAACTTTAGTTTTCAAAATCGCTTATAAAAAGCTTCGAATGTGTCTTTCATTGAAAAACATAATTGTCAAAAAAAATCCTATAGATCTAACAAGTACGATACAAATCATGTATAGTTTTCTTCACTATTATAAAATCTATCGAAAAAACACTGAAAGTTTATTAAAGTGCTGTAAGTAACAAACAATTTTGAATGTTTATGTTTGCAAGTAAGAAAATGTAAGTCTTTCCATTAAACTTCATCAAATTTTTTGCTTTGAAATGACTCTATTAATTAACCAAAACAAGTTTTCAGCCTTAATAAGTTAAATTACGTTTGCTTAAATGCAAACATGACATCATTAAGCTTTAATTTAGCAAATTTTGGTAAAATTTTATGAAAACTTAACATGTGATTTAATATTCATATTTTAGTACTTTAATTATGTTTAGCAACATAATTTATGCATTATTCTGTCACGTTTTACTTCTATTTAACTTGAATAGACAAATTAAGTTTGGATAATTCTGTTTTGTAGCAAAATTTGGAAAAACTTATCAGCTCAAAAGTGTTTCCATGTGATGATAATATTTTGAGAAAAAAATCTGCTATAATTAAATATTTTCTCAAGTCGCTTATCATTTGTGAAGCTTTAAAATGATATATAATATGCTACAAAAATATTTTGCTTTATAACAAATATGAAAGAAAGAAATTTTTTTTTCAAATATGGAAATAGTTTTTAAAGATACTGTCCCTAGCAGAAATTTACTAGTAATTTCCTAGTAATTTACTGCATAACTTTCCATTTGCTACTTGCTATTTACTAGTCAAAATCCAAATTCAAATCATCGCCAAAGACCCGCATTTTCACTTGCTAATTTACTAGTCAATTCACTTACAATTTAACTAGTAATTTACTAGCAAATTT